GACATTTTTAAAGATATATGCTGCTTTGCATTAATCCAAAAAAAGAAAGTCTGACACAAGTATATTTTAATGATGGAAATGCACATTAAATGCTTTTTCTCAAGTATTTCCTTGGCATTTTAGGGTGATTTTTTTGTTCGAGGGGTAGCGAATAGGCACCTAATCTATTTTTATGATTCTATGTTTCAAGTTATACTAGACCCATTTTCAAAATTTACTTTTTAACATGTTTATGTAACTTTGTTTATATAATAACACATGGCATATAACTAGTTTGGAATATTTTATTGTTTTTCCTTACAGATCTCTAAACAAGAACAGAAAAAAATGGATACATTTGATGGAGGCATGGCTGAAACTTCATCTCGGTACAGTGGTGCTCAGGATAGTGGAATCGGCAGTGACAGTGTTAAAATCAGAATAGTACAAATAGAGCAACACAGCGGTGCCAGTCAGCATCGCATTGCCCGTCCCTCACGCCAGTCGTCAATTGTGAAAAATCTAAATTTTATTCCCTTTGACATATTTATTACTGCAAGTAGAATCTCACTAATGACCTATTCCTGTATGGCCTTACCCAAATCGACATCACAAGAACAGAAGGATAATGAAAAAACAGGCAAGAGTTCATTAAATCTCCCAGAAGTTGATTCAGATGTTGCTAAGCCCAACCAGGCATGCATTTCCACGGTGACAGCAGAAGATCTGTTAAGCAGCAGCATTTCTTTTCCTTCAGGGAAAAAAATAGGGGTCCTCTCTCTTGAAAGTCTTCATGCATCCACAAGGTCATCTGCTAGACAAGCACTTGGTATAACTATTGTTCGGCAGCCTGGTCGAAGAGGAACTGGTGACTTACAGCTAGAGCCTTTTCTGTACCTTATTGTATCCCAGCCTTCCTTGCTCCTGAGTTGTCACCACAGAAAGCAGCGAGTGGAAATATCAATTTTCGATGCTGTGCTTAAAGGGGTAGCCTCTGATTACAAATGTTCAGGTAAGAACCTTCAAACTTACTGGAGTGCTAATAATTACTACTATATAAGTTTTATTTCCATAGATTCAAGATTGATGAAATAGTAAACAGCTGGCAAACCAGACAAGCCTTCTTTTCTCTACAGAATATGTAAAGTTCATGTTCCACAGCTGAGTCATGCTTAAGTAAATGTTTGAAATGCTTCGAGGTTTAGCTTTACTTTTCTTACTGTGCCTCTGAA